TTTCCATGTATATCAATATTCTAGAGATTCTATAAACAAAAGACTCAGTCACTTCTGCTGTGAGCACATGCTGTCAAAACAGAGATAACTCATGGGAGGACATCCCATAGGAGGCTGCAAAAATAAGTGTGAAAGAATAACAGGGAAAGGAAGCCAAGGCCAGGGTCCCTCTCTCTGGCTTGAACTCACTGGTTTTGCTCTGGCCTCCCCTGGTTCTCATGGAATGCTGTTGTTTATGAAATTTCAGAAAGACCAAATTCATTTGTTTGTTGGTATTAGAGGTGGGCTTTCCACTGGCCCCTGTTCATCCAGGCTGGCCTCCTGGAGTCAGGGCAGAGGCTGAAAAAACACTTGGACGATGATGAGCTGTTCTCCTCTCCTCCCAACGAGCTGGGATCTGGGGAGCGCTCCTGGAGCCTCCATGGGCTCTGGGCTTCTGCTGAGTCAGCACGGCATGACCCAGCAGCCACTGTGTTCTCTATCCTGGTGTAACTTGGCTCCACTCAACTGATGAGAGTGTCTTCTACAAAGAGGATCCCCAGGACCCTTCTCATTACCTCTCCTGGCTTCTCATTCTCCTTGATCTTTGGTACACTTCACTTTGGGAAATTATGTTAAAATAACAATAACAATAATATTAATAACTCACATTTACATAGGACCATGGACTTTACATCCTCACAACAATGCTGTGTGAGGTATATGCTATTGTTATGCCCATTTTTTGAGATGAGGAAACTGAGGGTCAGAAAAATTAAGGTCATACAACTAATAAATGCCTGGGGCAGAATTTGAGCCTGGGTCTTCCTGACCCCCAGCTCAAGCACTTTATTCACCACACCATGCACGTTACAATGGAAAGAGCACTTGCCTTAAGTCAGAGCACCTGGCCTCTGATGCTTACTATCTGTGTGACCGCTTCACCTGCCTGTGGCTCAGTTTCCTCAGATGTAAAAGAGAGGATTGGACTAGATAGTGTCAGAGGTCCCTCTTAGCTGTGTATCTATGATCCTATGGGGAAACTGAGGCCAGTAGAGATGAAGTGGTTTGCCTAAGGTCACACAGATAACAAGTGGTAGAGCTGGGATTTGAACCCAGACCCTTTGACCCCCAAATCCAGCACTCTCTCTCTGCTTCACTTTGAGGTGTCAAAGAACCAAGAGACTGTAGATAAAACACCTGCTTCACATTGACTTTTAGTCAATTGAAGGCAACTTTTATTATTAAGGACTTACTATGTGCAAAGCACTTACACTAGACTATTACTATTATTGTCTTATTAAGACTTCCATCATTAAGCACCTACTATGTACAAAGCACTTGCAATAGATGATCATTATTAAGCCTTACTAGGATTTTTGTTACTAAGTGCCTACTATGTGCTGGGTGGTACAGTGGATAGAGCACTAGGCTTAGAATCAGGAAGACTTATCTTCCCATGTTCAGATCTGGCCTTAGACACTTACTAGCTGTGTGACCTTGAGCAAGTCACTTAACCCTGTTTGCCTCAGTTTCCTTATCTGTAAAATGAGCTAGAGAAAGAAGTGGAAAAACACTCCAGTATATGTGCCAAGAAAACCCCAAAATGGGGTCACAACGAGTTGGATACATCTGAAAAAATGACTAAATGCAAAACACTTTAACTATACTCTAGGGATACAAGAACAAGATAGTTCCTGCTTACACTTTATTGTGGGGTGGGAGGATACGGCATTTATAAAAATATGTATAATACAAGGAAATTTGAGGAAGAAAGGGACAATGGTGGTGGTGGGGGAGCTCATGAAGGTCTTTGAGAAGGAGGTGGTACCTGGGCTGAGCCTTGAAAGAAGATTCTGAGACTGAGGTGACCAGGGAGGACATTCCTGGCCTAGGGGATAGACACACAAATTCGGAGCCAGCCGTGGTGCTGAATTCCACATACGTGAATGGGATGCTTCCTAACCTGTCTTCCCACCTCTCCTCTCCTTCCTTCATCAGACTGTTGGGCAGAACTTCTCTCTGTAAAGGTCTAACCTTGCCACTCCTGTGTTTAGAATTCTGTTCCTAACCAAGGCAAGTCCATCCAACCCTGCATCCAGGGCTAGCAGACACCCCCTCACATTATAGGTGAGGACACTGAGGTCTACAAGGGACCTCCAAGGCCATCTAATCCAACTCCCTCATTTTGCCTGTGAGCAAACTGAGGCCAAGGAAAGCCAAGGAACTTGTCTAGGACCTCACAGCTAGTAAACATCAATGGTGGAATCTGAACCCAGGTCCTGACTCCGGAGCCAGTGCTCTTTTTATTGTACCACCCACCCTTCCTAAGATAAAGTCAGGTACCTTCTTGGTTATTAAGCCACCACCACACAAGCCGATTCTAGGGTCAGCTTGTGTTCCATAGACATACCCTACACTTTCCTGGTTTCATGCCTTTTGCTCATACTGACCCATTCTTTATTTCTTTTTTCTTTTTTTTTTAGTGTAAAACATTTTCATATTAGTCATTCTTTACAAGACTCAAATAAAAGAAAAAAACAAAAGAAAGTGAAAATAGCATGCTTCAGTCTGTGTTCAGTCAATATCATCTCTTTCTCTGGAGACAGACAGTATGCTTCATCATGAGTCCTTCGGCATTTTCTTGGATCATTGCATTGCTGAAATTAGCTAAGTCATTCACAGTTCTTCATTTTATAATATTACTGTTACTATATACAACATTCTCCCGGTTCTGCTCACTTCACTGTGCATCAGTTCATGTAAGTCTTTCCAGGTTTTTCTGAAGTCATCCTGCTTGTCATTTCTTACAGCACAATAATACAAATTACAATCATATACCACAGCTTGTTGAGCCATTCCCAATTGATGTGCATCCCTTTGGTTGCCAATTCTTAGCCACCACAAGAAGAGCTGCTCTAAATATTTTTGTATAAATAGATCCTTTCCCCTTTTTTTGGATGTCTTTGGGTTAGAGATCTAGCAGTTGACCCATCCTTTAAAGACTTGCTCAAATGCCACCTACTTCATGAAGCCTTCCATGATTACTCTTATTAAAATTCCTTACCATCCTCCTCAAACATAGCACTTTATTTCACAACTCTCAAATGAATGTATCAAGTCATTTTTGTGTGTGGCATTTATCTGTGTATGTATCATATTCCTTTATTAGACTATAAGCTCTGGGAGGGCAGGGATCATGTATGATCTGAACTTTGTATTTCTTCCTGGGGCCTGACACTCTTCTCTGTACACAATTGGTCCATAATTGTTGAATTGATTCAACACACATTTATTAAACACCTACTATGTGCCAAGAACTCTGCAAGAGCCTGGGAATGCTTCCTCAAGTCTGTGATCTCATTGCTGTGGGTACTTTTCTCAACTGGGCAGATTACAATGCCTTTACCCATCTTTCCTCCTGGGCAACTCTTATCTGTGTCTTTTTGTAAGCCTCTGTGGCCCCCAGTAAAATGTTGGGTTGGACTAGATGACCCAAAGTCCCTTCTTCTAGTTCTAGATGGACACTACGGGTGCCTAAGCCTCCAGCCTTTTCAGTCTATCTTGGTAGAAGAAGCACTAACCATTTCTAAGGCAGGAGGGGCTGAATGTTCACCCCACCCCCTCCGAAGCATTCCAGCTCATGACACATGGAGAGGGCAGCGCTGATATTCCGACGGGAGAAGGCATTTGTTAGCTGTAGCTTCCGGTTGAGATTCTTTTGCCATGCTTTGGCAGCAAACGCTAGCGAGCCCCTGGGGAGTTGGGTCAGGGCAGTAGCAACTGCCTGGGATTAACTGGGTCTGTCTTGACCTTCAGCTGGTTATGATCACTCTAATTTCGCATTTTGTCTGCCCTCCTGCTGCTTCCGCTCCCTGATATTCTCTCTCCCACCCCCATGCCTGTTCCCCAGGCCTGTAATGATCTGCTTTCCTGCCTCTTGGAACCCCTAAGACCATTCCAGATCCAGCTCAAGGGCCATAGGAGGCCTCTTCTCATTGCAGACACGCCCATTAATCAACAATGAATCAATCAGCAAGTATTTATTAAGTCACCTACTATATGCCAGGGGCAGCTAGGTGGCGCAATGGATAGAGTGCTGGCCTTGGAGTCAGGAAGATGACTCTTCCTGAGTTCAAATCTGGCCTCAGACACTGATTAGCTGTGTGACCCTGGGCAGGTCACTTCACCCTGTTTGCCTCAGTTTCACCATCTATAAAAAGAACTGGAGAAGGAAATGGCAAACCACTCCAGTATCTTTTTCAAGAAAACCCCAAGTGAGATTGTGAAGAGTTGCACATGACTGGAAAACAACTGAACAACAACAACTATGTGCCAGGCACTGTGTTATGTAAATACATTTTGTATATGCTTAACTGCACATATTGCCCATCCCAGTAGAATATCAATTCCTTGACGGCAGAGACAGTTATATTTTTGTCTTTGTAGTCCATCAGCCATCACAGCTAATAACAACTAAGGTTTATATAGAACTTCAAGGTTTGTAAAGCACTTTACATGTGTCATTTCATTGGATCCTCCAGACATCCCTTTGGAATAGGTGCTTTTATTATCCCCATTTAACAGATGAGGAAACTGAGGCAGAGAGAGGCTAAGTGTCTTACCCAGGGTCACACAGCTGGTAATGGTCTGAGGCAGGATTTGAACTCAGATTTCTTGGCCCCCAAGTCTAACACTGGGTCTAGAGCTTGGCACACATAGGTGCTTAATGAGCACTTACGGAAGTGATCGCTGTTGACCTGGTGGCCTGGCCCATACCCCACAAGTTTTCACATACCGTAACATCTTGGGTGTAACACAGGGTGGTCAGGAGCCTCCCAACACTTTGTGAAAAGCACTCGGCAAACCTTAGAGCCCCCTCTGTAAAATATGAGCTATTGTTAACTCTTGCCCATCTGGGACCTAGTTACTGCTCTGCCCTGGGAGGGGAAGGGAAGCCCCGTTCCCGCGCAGGACCACCAAAATTCACCTGGGTTTGCTTTTGTTTCTCTCTCCCCCAGGCTCCTGTTCGGCACCCTCTATCCTGCGTATTATTCTTACAAGGCAGTAAAGTCCAAGGACATTAAAGAATATGTAAGTAACCCTGTTTTCACCTGGGTGTTCTGGAGGTGCTCTGGGCCAGGCGCTGGCGGGGCTTAGAATGCGGGAGGGGGAGAAGAACCGTCGACAGGCAGTGAGCTCTAGTGAAGAGGGAGCAAGCCTGTTGTTGGCTGTGTGACCTTGGGTAGGGAAATCACTTAACCTCTCTGGCCTCAGTTTCCTCCCCCAGTGTGAATTTTTTTTCCTATCCTGGGAGGAGGGCCACTGAACTTCACAATCCTGTTCTACTGGCTCCTTAGCGGATCAGACGCTGCTGGGTTTGGGGCTGTGGCTCAGCTCCCCCACAGTCCTTCAGGATACTCACTCATGTGCAGCTCTTAGCTCTAGGGCAGGGTCCTGGCCCTAGTATAACCAGGTCCCTCCTGGGAGAGATCTGGCTTTAAGCAAGAGGACCGCCACCTTTCTCCATCACCTGTAGGCCCCTTTGTTAAGTGGGGAGGCAAGGGAAATGGAAAGCAGGCCTAGGCACAAGAGAAAGGAGTGAGAGATCTGGCCCTGAGGATTCTATTGGTAACGGGAGCCTTCTGATGAGGAAACTCTCTACCAACACAGCTCTGCCATTATAACCTAGAGCAGAGCTTCTAGTCATTGACCTAGGCACTGGATGGGGCTGGCAGAACAAATTACAGGCAACCTCTGCTTTCTAACGGAGAACCCGTGGTACTGAGTCTCCCCCAGATTTAGTGGAGTCTGCTGCCAAACGCTTATGACACTGGTGTTGCGACCCTGAGATGCTCTGACTCTCAGTTTCCTCATCTGTAAAATGGGGATAATAGTAGCATCTGCCTCACCAGGCTCTTGTGAGGATCAAATATGATAATATATATGATGCAAAGTGCATTATAAACCTTAAAGCACTATGTGAATGTTAGCTAATATTGTTAATATTTGTAACTATTAATAATTATAATAATGCATTTAAAATAATGCTTTAAGAATATCTTATTTATTATTATTATTATTTTAAATGAATTTATTATTATTACCATCTACCTAGACAGTGTAATTCAGTAGTTGACTTGGCATCCAGAAGATTTGAATTCAAATCTCCCCTCAGACTGCTACCCATGTGACCTTAGGCAAGTTGATTTCATCTGAGGTTCAGTTTTCTTATCTGTAAAATGGGGGTGATCAATAGCTCCTACCTCACAGGGCCTACCTCACAAGGCTCCAAAGAGATAACATGTTCGACATAAAGCACTTTTCAAACCTCAGAGCGCTACCTAAATGTCCTCAGGGGTTTCCCCACAACCTGGTGCCACGTAGGAAACAGAAGAGGGATTATACCGGGAAGGAAAGATCATGTAGACATGCTTCTTTTTGTTCCCCTAAATCTCCCTGCTAGGCTGTCAAAGTGCCTATGTTTTAATATTCATTTTATTTTAATTAATTTTAATATTAAATATAAATAATACTAATTCCTTGGGGCCCGAAGGCTCAGTTTGAAGGAATCGCCTCTTAGCATGTTAACACATCCTGGGAAAGGTAACACCTTAAGCAAACATCTTAGGTTATTAATGATTATCTTACCTGAATGAATTTTTCTACAGTGACAGCTGGCCCTATAAAATTGGAACATATTCTTTTATGTTAAAATTTAACATCAACTGTGTGACTTTGGGCAAGTCACTTAACCTTGATTGCCTCACCAGAAAGCAAAATACACACACACACACACACACACACACACACACACACACACATATAATCATTCTCCTCTACCTAGTTCAGGGCCCCCACCCCACCTGGGTTGCTTCCTCTCAGAGTCGGAGACTGAGAATGTGGTGATCCCATTGGATGCAGAATCAAAGACCGGTAGGTCAGACACCCCTATGTATGGAGACATTTTCTCGTTTTCCTCCCAGATCCTCACGTGCAACAGATAGGGGGAATCCCTACTAGACCTAGGCTCTAGGAATAGGGGAGAGGGTTGTTTGTTCTTGGTCCTAGATTTGTGATCTAGACGGGGAAATTAACTTTCCCAGCTGCTCCCTTCCCTCTCCCCAGAAGTCTGGAAGACAGGAAGAGGACCTCATCCCCTTAGAAAGAGTATCATTTTACCTTGTGGTGTGGCTGGTGATTGGGACTAAATTAAGTGTGGGAGGGGTAACGAATTTTTCATGCCAGGATCATTAGAAATGGCTTTACCCGTCTCATCTGTCTCCATGAATGACCTCCGGGGACCCAAGAAAAGACAATTCAAGGAGATAAACAGGGCAAGCAGGGGCACAGGTTATCCCTCTGTGATGGAACAGGGCATCCCAAGCCCTGCCTCTACTTGCCTTGGGTAGCTCTTTGATACCAGCATCTGAGGACCAGCAAGGGACGACTGTGTATTCCAAACCAGCTTCTCCTCCTCATCCTGGGCTCTGCTCCTTCCTTCTCATAGAATGTAAGCTCCTTGAGGGCAGGGAATATTTTACTTTGGTCTTTGTAATGGCCAGCTCCTCACACAGAGTAGGTACTTCATAAATAGTTGTTAATTGAATGTAAGATCCTTGAATGTTGGGTTGCTTTGTCTTTTATATTTATATCCCCAGCAGAAGGGATACAAGTAGAGTTCCTGGCACATAGTAGGTGCTTAATAAATACTTGTTGATTAAATTTAAGCTCTATGAGAATAGAGGTTGTTTCAGTCTTTGTATTTGTGTCCCCAGCACCTAGCTCAGTGCCTCACACATGCTTGTTGATTGAATATAAACTCCTTGAGAGTAGAGAACTTTAATTTTTAAAATTTGTATCCCTAATACCCAGTAGCACATAGTAGGTGCTTAATCAATGCTTGTTGATTGAATGTAATTTTTATGAGAATAGGAGTTGTTTCAGTCTTTGTATTTGTGTCCCCAGCACCTAGCTCACTTGTAAGCCAGGATGCAGGGTAGTAATTGGCAATGAGAAATGGAGTTGCTGGGTAGACTGGCTCATTGTGTTGACTGGTCAGTGCATCCTCTTCCCAGGAGGGAAATTGACTTGAAGACTGAGATAAGATGGGAAATCTTTTAAATATGGGATCAAACCATTGGGAATTGCAAGGTCTCAAGTGATTTGCAAGTTGTGGTAGCTCAGTGCACCCTTACCTACTGAAGGCATGTCAACTAAGTGAGCCAGGTGTTATTTTAACAAAGATTTATTAAGCTTCTACCTTGTGAAGAGCATTTTAGTGGACACTCTTAGGGATAGACCAAAGGAATCTAAACCCCAAACAGGTATATATTTATAAAATTATTGTCAAATAATAAAATAAAATTACACAGATATATGCTATGTTATCATAGAAATAAAATTATAATTTATAAATTATAAATTATAAAATCTTTACATATAACTATGTATAATTTCCCCTCATACACTTTCCATTCCAGTTAAACTTGGCTGCTAGATATTCCCTTTGTATAAAATTTCATTTCCCACCTCTTTGTCTTTGACCACTTGGTGCCCTGTTTCTTCCTCACCTCCAGGTTGAGGCAAGTCAACAAGAATTTACTAAGTGCTTACAATGTTCTAGGCATTGGGCTAAGAGCTAGAATTGCTAATATCCTTCAAGGTTTTTCCTGCTTTCTCCCAAGTTGTTTCTGCTCTCTTTAAATCACTTGTATATACTTTGTATTTACTTATCTGCTCCTGTTGTATCCCTCTCCCTTCCCAGTAGAATGTAAGCTCCTTGAGGGCAGGGCTGTTTTGTTTTTGCCTTTGTATCCAATGCACCTAGTGCTGGTGCCTGGTTTGTAACAGATGCTTAATAAATACGGTTGAATTAATGCCTATGCATATTAATAGATGATAAAATCTTAATACAATAATCGCTCCAAGATGGTGGTTACTATTTTGAGCCTGGGAAAAAACCTAAACATCATTTGATTTTTATGAGGCATTAATAACCATCAGGTCCACCACCTGGCAAAAGGGATTAGCTTTTGTCCTGCTTGGCCTCAGAGGGCAGAACCGGGCCAGGCCAGGTGGACATTGCAAAGAAGCAAATTTAGCTTTGACGTCCTTCCCAGAGCTGCTTCAGAGTGGAAAGGCTTGCTGCAAGGTCAGTGGCTCGCCTCAGTAGAGAATTGGGAGCAGAGGGCCCATTCCTGCTCATTCTGTAGTCAATACAGGGGATGCTTATTCAGATATGGGTTGGAATAGATGACCTCTGAGGCCTTTCCATCTCTGAGCTTTTGGTAATGGCTAAGTAGTCATTTCATATGGCTTATGTTTACTTTGTCTGTATTAAATATATTAAGTACCTGGCATTTATACTTTATCTAATTATATATATATACATACATATATGTGTATGGGCGATGGACTTTGTGTATATATGTGTATATGATATATATATGGTTTTTCTTTCCCTTCCCTTCTTCTTTTCTCTCTCTTCCCTTTGCTCCCTTTTCTTTTCCTTCCCTATTTCCCCTTGTGCAACTTAATAATCCTATGAGGGATTCTGTGTCATGGGCCTCTTTGTTAACCTGGTAAAGCCTATGGATCCTTGCTCAGAAAAATATTTTTAAGTTCACAAAATGCATAGAATTACCAAAGAAACCAATTATAAACCAAATTATATGTATGTATGTGTGCGAATTTTTATTCATTCATTCATTTGTTTGTTCATTTATTTATGCATGAATGTATGTTCATGGGCCCCAAGTAACCAAGCCTTTTCTTAAGAGAGCTGCTTAGATGAAATGAAAGGTTAAGTGACGTTCTCAGGGCCATGCAGTCAGGATGTTTCAGAGGTAGAATTTGAACCCAAGTCTTCTGAGGCCACCTCACCTTGAGCCACCCTAAGCTGCCTCTTCAGTACATGTTGGTTCCACTGATAGAATATAAGGTTCTTGAGGGCAGGGGTTATTTAATTTTTGTCTTGGTACCCCTATTACCACAATTTCTTTTCTTTTTGTGAGGCAATTGGGGTTAAGTGACTTGCCCAGGGTCACACAGTTAGTAAGTGTCAAGTGTCTGAGGCTGGATTTGAACTCAGG